TATGGCGGCCCCTCCACGCCCCGCCATGCGATATCTTAGCCGTGGCCAGTCTGGGGTGTGGCCGAGACATCTCAGCCGTGGCCCTACCATGGGGCCGTGTCTTTTTTCTTTTTTTTTCCCAGCCGCGCGACCAAAAAAAAAAAAAAAAAAAAGAAGAAGAAGAAAGAAAAGGCCAGCCCGAGTTTCAACTGCAATTGAAACTTGGGCCCTGACAGTGTCTAAACTGCGAAAACACAGTTTGAAATGCAATTGCAAACTGTAACCCTGACTGCGCCGTAGTTTTCTCAATTTAAAATTATTTTTATTTTCTATTTTTTTAACAGATTGCAAGGAAAATGAGCCATAGAGAAATCCAGAAACCAACCAGCATCATACACATGAAATCAGATAGTCGGGACCTCGAACCAAAAGCAGAATTGCAACTCGAGTTCCACCAAATTGAATTTGAAATAAGAGCACAGTAAAAGCTCACAAGTGACAATGTCGGAATGGTCTCATCATCATCAACAATGAACCAATGTAGATTCCCTATCTGGGGCTCGGAGCCCAGACTACGAATGGCAGATCCTATCTAGCCTATCTACAATGCCGCCGATGACGTCAACAGCTCCCCGAAGTACGAGCAGATCTCGGCCAATGCCGTTCGCCTCAAGCACCAGGTATGTCTCACACTTCACTCACAACCTCGATCCCCCACGCAGATGCCACATGCACCCAAGGACCACCATGCGCCCCATCTAGCACCTCGCAGGCCAGCTCGGCTATGGCTGCCTGCGTGTACCCTGCTCGCCCGTGAGAGCGTGAACGCTTGCCTGCCACTAGCGCAGCACGTAGCAAGTGCCCGAATGCCGAATGCGGAGGCAGGCACTTTCCTATATGGAAGTGGCGTGCCTGCTGCGTGCTGCCTGGCTGCGCAGGGCCCCTGCCCAGAAGCTTCCTGTAGGGCCCAAGTGGCTGAGCCCCGGTCCAAGGGAGTAAGGCACAGGGCCTGGGGTGGTTACCCGTCTCCGACTGCCAGCGGCCTGTGTGCAGTCCATGCCCCGTGTCTAGCCCAGGGCCTGCCTCGGATACATTTGGAAAAAGGCAGGCAGGGCCTGGGCTCTCTCAACCAACTGGCGCGTGATTTTTTTTATTTTTTTTTTTTGGGGGGGGGGACAAAGGCTCCAGTCTATTTGCAACTTCCTGAATTTCCCAGTTGCGGGAAAAGCCCAAATTAGGCCTCTCGTCCCCAGTCAGGCATGCCTTCACTTAGGGCGGCCGATATTGCTGAAAACAGGGCCTGGTAGGGCTTATGGAGGCCTTGAGCCTCGCATGATTTTCGTTTTTTCATTTTTTAAAATTCACAAATCAAGTCAAATTCAAAAAAACAAATTATGGGGTTGTACGGTTTTTTTAACCCTACAACCCCATGTACATATATATATATATATATATATATATATTTTTTTTTTCACGTTTTTTTTTTTCCCCAAAACAAATATCCAAAAAATCGGGCCGTAAACTGGGCCTCCTGGCCGTGGCCACGGCCGACTTTTTCGGCTGCGGCAGCCAAATTGCCCGCGGCCGTCAAATTGCCCCGTAGCTCTTCACCAGGGCTCTCTTGCCACCTAGTAACCAGTAGCATTCCCACTGTCCCTTTTTTTTTTTTTTTTTTTTTTTTTTTTTTTTTTTTTTTTGCCCCTTGATAACTTACACTCTTCTACGAACTGCGTGATAGCAGAAAACTTGAGAGTTACCCAACAACTTTCCCCAAAACTTCTTGAAAAGCTTGCTCCTTTGCCAAGCTTGTTGACCCGTACACAATTGTGCCCTTCGCCTACTGCCCAGTCGCATACCCAATTTACGGCTTCTAAAATAGACTTATGGGGAAGCCTAGTGAACATTTCTTTTATGTCGAAACTCGCAGTTAACAGGCAGCCGGCGGACCACTTAGCGGTCTGTTTTCCTATCCCTTGAATCCGCAACTTGAGAAGATTGGAAGACTTTAAGTTGAAGTGGGATTTTGATGGGAGATTCCATAGTAGGAAGTTGATRGCTCKTGCCACTATTTTKCAAGCCCTCACCCCTGGTTCCGCAAACGACRGTGATATAGGTYGCCACCTGGAAACATCCTTATGCTTCGRGATGCCATAAYAGTTGCCAAGCACACCCTTGYCGTCCYAGGGGGCAATCTTTTTRGCGTCTATGGCTTCATATTCGTTTCTACMCTTGCGCAACACCTCCTCTTRACTGGATTCAACAACCTCGAAMCCCGTGTTCTCCYAGAAAAGYTWAGCAAGAGYTTGACAATAAACAACCCTGCAGCAAACAAATGTATCCCCGATATTGTGGTCTATAGGACAAGCCACCAAACCCCMCATCTTGCTTTTCCAATCCATCAGAGTGTCAGTTCTGGAGCTAACCTCACGTCTGCYTTCCTTCAGGCAGCGTGACAGKTCCTGACTACGAACCAAAAAAAACTCCCGGGCATCTTTCCAGACTGCATTCCAAAGCCCTTTTTACAGAAACTTTAGTGACCTCCTTCATTGGCGGCAATGCGTTCCTTGAGTTACTTAGAAAGCTAGGTAGTTCAGAAAAATCAGAGAAACGGAAGCAGACATGGYCGTCGTTATTCCTAGGCAGAGKARAGTCYCGTGACGCACARACGCACTCAAAAACAACGCCCTTAGYGACAAGCCTATGGTTATGCAGATGGTCACCAATTGTCTTTGGGCTTTTCCACACAARCCRTAGGCGAGAAATCATAAACTCARCTACGCATTGCRGCWGAGAACGTCTCCTGACTTCTCTCTTTACTACCTGAATACATTCCTGTTTCACAATTAAGTCCGAAAAAACTGTCTTAATCATTATAGTGACCAGACATTTGAAACCACATTTTCGTTTCAATACACGCCCCACAATTCCCTTCAGAATAGCCCTTGTTCTCCCATTCTCAAAAGACTAAGTGCAGTTGTAAAGTTTTATAAGTGCACTAATCTCAAAACTGTAAAGCATCTTTCTGGATGAGGGCATCTRCAGGAGCSAGATCAAAACAAATTTCCGAGCYTGCCCTGGACAATTCTGCAGTCTGATATGCAGGAAACTAAAAATACCCCCATCGCAAAAAAATTGCTTAGCATCCTTTAGAAAAAACTTCTTGCCATTCCATTCGATAATTGACCACCCAAGTAACTTTCTCATGCGGCCGCATCCATCGAAAAAAAGACCCCCACCATCAGTTCTAACAGAGGCATTAAAGCACTTTGCGGAAACAGCCTCACTCAGGGCACAAGCTAAAGAGAAGGTTCTAACTGGCGTTGGGGGAAACAGTGCACTGCCGGGGGAGACTTCCCAGGAGAGGAGACTTCTGTCAGTAGTACTGGGCAACGTACCCTTGCTCCTACAATAAGCCTTACGTTCCCTTCTCCCCTTCCTCATATTTCCACATCCCCGTTTTCTCCTCTGTGTGTTGAGAAMTGRGGTTCATCTAGCAATGCATGAGTGCTCGATATTTCTCAGTTCGTTAGTCGTGGTAGTTAGCAGTGGGATAGCTACATAACTCTCCCAACCTTTGGCCGACAACCATCTCCTGAGCTTATGGTTCCTCCTCGGAGTGGTCAGACTACCAGAAGCAACATGCTCTTCTCATCTTTCCGATACCCCCCTACACGTTGAACCAATGTACGTTGCCCTGWTCCAGGGTGAGATGAGGACATACACACAACACCCCTTTCCCTCGCAGATGTCGTAACCCCCTTGTACCRTTGCGACCCATTGGTCGAGAAACTTCACGCCCCACTGTATCTGGCCAGCCAGAGTTAGGAGCAGCACAAACAGTCGCATCTCTTGTTCCAAGCACCTTCTCTCACATCCCTTACCCTTYCTCARCACACGAGCAGCCTGCACCCTGTGCACCTGCCGCCATAGCCATCCAGGGTCTTGGTAGGACTCAAGAAGGATTCTCCTCTTGAGCTTCGTCCGTTGTTTCTT